CTGCTGGTGGTGGTGCTGGTGTGTGCTGACGGTGCCGTCACTTGATGCCATTCCTGTTGTCTTATTGGCCCATAGGTGTCATTTTCCAATGCTTGGCTCACCCCAGCTGGGAGAGAGGAAAGCAGCACCGGAGAGACAGCCTCCACAGGCTCCCGCAGCCCATCCTTTGCTCTGGTCGTCCTTTCCCTGAAGTCCTTACCTGGCACACAAAAAAGGGGCCAGACTCGGGACACTGCACGGGATTCAGACAATCCCTGTTCTCCCCACCTTCTGGCTTCCTAAGTGGCTGCTGTTCTCCACTGTACCCAGTCAGCCTCTCACTGGCCTGGGAGAAGCAGCCCTCTCCCCAGTAGCCAGAGCAAGCTTCCCTCTTAGGAGCGAGTGGAGGCAGAAGCAGGAGCAGGCCACTGTCTTGGCCCTTTTGAGTATTCACTGTGCTCATGGCCAAGCTTGATGATGCCAACAACCTCTTCTCTGAATACCCTTCCTGTACACAGCGGTGCCTGGCTTCCTGTGTGCTTCTCTGCTTTGAAGAGTACCCAGCAGTTTTTTAGGTGGCTCTGGGCCAGAAGGTGTACTGGGCTTCTTAGCTCCTTGGGGCCCACCTGCCCTTCCCCCTCTTCTGAGGGCAGCTTGACTGACTGCTCAGCTTTGGCATGGGCCGCAACACTCCCACTATGGTTCGGGTCTTATAGAGGAGGAGACGTGAGGAGCTGAGGCCCAGTTGCAGGAAGCAGGTCACCGGAGGTGCCCTTGGACGACGGGGTGGTGGTGGTGTCTGGGGACCTGACATCCTCCTCACTCTCTCTTTCTGCTTCCCAGACATCACCTCACCCTCCCTGCCATGACGCTTGTCCTCCACAGCCCAGAGCAACAAGGTCAAGTGACCATGGAGTGAAACCGTGAATCAAAGGAGACACTTCTTCCTTGTAAGTTGTCCATCTCAAGCACTTTATCACAGGTACAGAGGCTGCCTGGCACAAGGCCCCTATTTAAAACTTTCCAGGGACTTTCTTTGGGCACTTAAAAGGAAACCTGTGTCACCCCCATGAGGTGCTGCCTGATAGTCCAAGTGTGCCGGCCTTCTTGGGAGCCCTGGGGAAGGGAGGGCGTGCTGAGGGCAGGCTTTGCACCGCTGCATCCGAGGCCAGGGGCTCATGGGACTCATGGCACCGTCCATTCGTGGAGAAGGCTAAGGTCTGTGAAGCCCTCATGGGTGCAGCCAAACTTGAGGGCTCATTAGAAGTTTAGTGGGGTGGGGTGGCGGGGCCCGGTGGCCTGCGTGAAGCCGAGGATTGTCCTGAAGGCCGAAAAAAACTGGGGGCTGGGGCCAGCCACGTGGCGCAGGAGGATTTATAACATTCGTTCCTCCAGCGACAACACTGCCAAATGTGTGAAACAGACGACGCCAGCGGGACAGAAGCGTGAGGGCATGGAAGAGCGCTTTCCCCTACCGGAAATCTGATGGCTTATGACATCATGGCTGGCTGCTGAACGATGCAGTGGATGCCTCAGAGAAACTCTATTCATCAGATGAATTCGGAAATCACTTTCCCTCCAGCGGGAGGAGCAGCCCTGAAGTCAGGAGAATTCCAGCTCTGTTTAAAAAATAAAATAAAATAAAATAAAATAAAATAAAATAAAATAAAATAAAATAAAAGCAAAATTAAGTCTTGCTCTGTATTAAAGGCAGTTTTCTTAAAAACAAGCAACCCATTTGGATATCATCTTATTTACGTAGAAATGCTGGGTTTTGTGCAATGAAAGTGGCCAATAAATTGGGCCTGAAGCTTAAAGAAAAAAAAAAAGAAGTTTATTAGGAACTTTTAGCAACTGTTAACTGCAGGGCCCCTGCTCCAGGCGCCCCTGCTGCCACCTTGGAAGGCATTACTGGTCCCTGCTGTGGATTGGATACAGCTTGAGTGTGTCCCCCGAGATCAGGTGCTGGACGTATGGACCCGGGTGCGGTGGGCCTCTTAACAGTGGGGCTTAGTGTGAGGAAGATGGGTCAATGGAGGCACCGCCCCCGGCAGGATTACTGCTGTCCCCTCAGTGCGTTCATTTCCAAGAGAAAGAGTTGTTATAAAGCGTGAGCTGGCCCTCAGTCCTTCTGGCTTTGGTGTCTCATAGTGGCCTCTCTCTCTCGCATGTCTACTGAACAGGATGTTACTCAGCATGTTTTGGCTGACTCAGCACAGAGGGCCCTCACTGGAGGACACATTGATAATGCTTTCTAATCTTGCAATTTCTACCTCCCAAAACTATGAGTTAAACACCACTGTTCTATATAAAGTACCCCAACTTGAGATATTTTGTAGTAGTAAGAGAAAACTGACCCATGCAATCTTCTATTTACAGCTGAGGAAGTCAGGTTTCAGAGCAGTCCAGCTTGTCATCCAGGGGCACCTGCGGTGGCTGGGTCTGTTTGAATGCCTTGCTTCTGTCTGCAAGGGAAACAGGAACTGAGAGTGCGGTCTTTGGGTGCAAACCTCCCGGGATTAGAATTCCTGCTGCACCCCAGGCAAACAGGAAAGCGATGTGTCACCATGCTTCATTTTCTTTATTTGTGAAACAGAGATTAAAAAGAATCTCTATCACGGTGATGTTGAGAGGATTACGGGAGATGGTGTGTTTAGTGTGGTGTTGCTAAGAGCTCAGTAAACATTACTTGTCACCCTCATCACTGTTATTATTTGTTACTTCTCATCCTCAAATTCTATGACTTTCCCCCCATTTATGCGTTTGGCACAGCATCTCACTACGCCGCTTGGACTCATAGTGATCCTCCTATTTTCAGCCTCCCCAGGGCTGGGATCACAGGTGTGCGCTGCCACGCCAGGATTCTTTTGCTGGCTCAGTCGCCCTGATTGCTTTGCTTGCCAGAGCAGGCACTTGGTCCACTGAGCTATCTTGCCAGCCCTTAAATTCTTGGCTTTGGGACTTGCTTTTTATTTTAGTGATTCCAGGGCCAGTGTGGCACAATGAAACAGGCGTGCTCTTTGGAGCTCTCTTACGTGCTGCATGACTTAAGGAAGTCATTAGACCTCTCCAGCCTCCACTTTCCTTGTCTGTGAAATGGAAACTAGAATATTCATCTTGAGTCAGGTGAACATGGGCGTGGTCCCCAGCGTAAGACCCGATCATCCTGGGACTCTATTCACCGGGCTGGAACTGCGCCGGTTCAGTTCCAATGTTGTCCTTTGAGCTTTCAGCCCAGCTAGCAGTGAGTTTGATCTGAGGTATGTGAGCTTTCCTCTCCTGTCCAGAATTCAGCTTTGGCATTCTAGGTAGACTCAGGGATTTTCTGGAGGTGAAGGAATCAGGGACTGAGGACAACAAGCAGCAGGGCCATCAGGTGAGCCACACCTTGGCCGGTCTGAGAGGCCGGGTGACACCAGAGAGCAAGGGTTCTAGAGCCCCGTTTCCCGCATGCAGACTGAGTTCACTCTCTGTGAGGTATGCGACTTCAGGCTAGTTATCTGGTCTCTTCTTCATTTTCCTTAACTGTTGATTAGAGGCACATCACCACCTCACAGAGTATAAGGGTTGAATGTGTTAAAAAGAAAACCCATGGAATTGTGCTCAGCACAGGGCGAGGGCTCTGGATGTGTTCTTTACTTACCTCTCTGCCTCTAGTTCAGCCGAATCATCTCCTCTGAGCTCCCATCCAGCAGGATCTGTAATGTTCTATTCGTTAATCTCCTTGGCCCATGAGCTCATCTCTGTGTTCTTGGTGCCTAGCAGCAGAAAGCCTGACACATACTAGGTGTTTAGCATTATTATTATCAATATTTTTTTTGTCAGTAGGAATTAAAGAATTCAGAGGTCAGCTGACGTGAGCCAGAGACCTGCTGAATAGGGCTGCAGGAATTAGACATGAGTCAGCGAGGCACATGGCCTTGCCTGGGGACAGCTGGTCCCGGCCTGAAATAATCCTAATCCCTTCAGAGAGGAGGCACGCAGAAACAGGGAGGGAATTACTCAACACCTATTCTTAGGTGCTGTGCCAGGGGCTTGACGTGTGCATGCCCCTCACTTTGCCTTCAGTGTCACAATACTCAACATTAGAATGCACAGCTGAGAGTGCTGGCCCCTCAGGGAAGCCCTTGGGGCTCTCTGCTCTCATCAAACTGACCTTCAGGCGGAGGAGT